TAAATCATTGTCGCTATTGGCGCGTGTTAATGCTCCTATGCATGTGCGAATTCTCGGGGGTCATATGGGGGATATATAAACCGCAATAAAGTTTATATATATTCTTGATCAGGATAACTATCTGTCTGTCCGTATGAACGCTGGGATCTCGGAAACTACAAAAGCTAGAAGGTTGAGATTTCCCACACATATTCTTGGGCTTCCTACGCAGCGCAAGTTTATTTTAGCCGAGCGCCACGCCCCCACAATCGCGTCCACATCTTTAAAAATTTCCAAGTAGTATAAATGCAGTTTGGTTGTGTATATTTATACCTATCAAAATGTAGAAGAATTTTTCAAATCGGACCATTCATTAAAAAGTTTCGCAATCAACATTGTGAATATATCTATCTCCCTCGCACTCCCTTTAGCTGAGTTCCGATTATTTGATAGTCGGGACACCAACCCGATTACACCGTTCGCACTCCCTTTACCTGAGTGACGGGTAATAGATAGTCGGGACACCAGCGTTCTCTCTTGTTTTCTAATTTAAATATTGCTTTTATTTTTTATTATTATTAGTTAATGCATTTTACAACTGCAAAAAACTTCCAACCCATTTGCACCAGTGGGATTCGAACCGGAGTTCTCTCGCTTTAAAGGCAGACACCTTACCAGTCACACCATAAGACTGTGTTAAGTACATGTGTCCAAGCGATAAACGATATACAAATGTACATATATAAAAACAAATTATTTTTAAAATTATTAATTAGATAATAAATTATTAAAATAATTAATAATATTAATTCTGAACGGCGCACTCTCTCACTGAGCTAACATCTCATACGGGACAACATTTAAGATAAACATTGTTTATTTAACAGCATAGTTAACATATTTACGACTATTTTTTTTAAGAAATGCAAAAAAATATTTTAACAGGGTAAGAATTTCTCAACTGCGCATATGAAATTTTAGATTTTCTTCAAACTCAGGTACTTTGAAGAGTTTGCCTTGGTTATCATCTGTGATTTTTTTGAAATTTGTGGGCGCTATGAATTTTTGAAGTAAAGAACTTAAAAAATGTTCTCAAACTTCAAATTAGTATATCTCAAGAACGGCTTAGAAGAATAACGTGCAACTTTACACGTTTTTAAATGTGTACTGGGGGAGTTAGAAAATAATTTTCTTAAATTTTTTGTTGTCCAATAAGTATGAATTTTAATTATTTGAAATTTTGTATCGCGGTTTTGACTGTCTTCTTCATCCTATAAAAAAAACTTAACTATCCAAGATTGCCCATCTCATAACCAACTTAATTTACCCGAAAAAACATTTTTGTTCCTTTTCATAATTTCCAAGATATATATTTTTTATGCGAATTTAGAAAAACCCTATTTATATTTCCAATGAGTACATTTCTTACATGGTTAAGCTGAAAGTTTTCACAACTCATTTACTCACTGATATTACGCACATATATTAATATCATAATATTACCACCGTCCCTTCATATAGCTGCCATACAAAACGATGCATTTTCTTATTGTTAAGAAGGTAGGCTTTGAAAAAATGTTTTGTTTCAGATTGTAATTTTAATTTTTCAAAGCCTACTTTCTTAACAATCACCAAATGATTAGGTTAGCCCACATAGGCCATGACTGGCCCACTGTGATACCGCAATGAATCTGATTACTGCAGTGCAACAAAATTCTTTGTTTAAAGAATTGAATGATATTAAGTTATCCCACAAAATTGTATACCAAAATTAAAAAAAAACTCAAATAACTCTCAAGTGCTGCGTGATTGCCCAAATCAGAGCTTAATTCTAAAATGATTTTAAAAAAAATTGCCTGTTGCGTTTCACATAGAATAAGCCTATAGTAAATAATTAGACTAATTTTTTAAATATACCCATATATGGGTAAACGTTTGATAAGTACTAAGTAGATCTCGGATTTTGCATATTTGTATACCCTTGCAGAGGGTATTATAATTTCGGTCAGAAGTTTGTAACGCAGTGAAGGAGACGTTTCCGACCCCATAAAGTATATATATTCTTGATCAGGATCAATATGGAAGTCGATATAGCCATGTCCGTCTGTCCGTCCGTCTGTCCGTCTGTCCGTCTCTCCGTCTGTCTGTTTCTACGCAAACTAGTCTCTCAGTTTTTGAGCTATCGGGATGAAACTTTCCCAAAAGTCTTCTTTCTATTGCAGGTAGTATATATGTCGGAGCCGACCGGATCGGACAACTATATCTTATAGCTCCCATAGGAACAATCGGAAAAAAAAAACTTAAAAAAATTCTAGCTTCGGTGTTTTTTGAAATATTACCTTCTACTTTTGGGGATGTTATTTTTTAAATATTTCTGAATTTCGAATTAATTATTTAAAAAATCGGACTACTATATCATATAGCTGCCATAGGAACGATCGGAAAATTAATGGAAAAGTAATAGGAAATAAATTCTACCTTCTTTGGTTTTTATTGTATTATCTTCTACTCTAGGATATGACTCTTTTTAAATATTTCCGAATTTCAATTTTAATTTAATCAAAATCGGACGACTATATCATATAGCTGCCATAGAAACGATCGGAAAATTAATGGAAAAGTAATAGGAAATAAATTCTAGCTTCTTTGGTTTTTATTGTATTATCTTCTACTCTAGGATATGACTCTTTTTAAATATTTCCGAATTTCAATTTTAATTTAATCAAAATCGGACGACTATATCATATAGCTGCCATAGAAACGATCGGAAAATTAATGGAAAAGTAATAGGAAATAAATTCTAGCTTCTTTGGTTTTTATTGTATTATCTTCTACTCTAGGATATGACTCTTTTTAAATATTTTCGAATTTCAATTTTAATTTGATCAAAATCGGACGACTATATCATATAGCTGCCATAGGAACGATCGGAAAATTAATGAGAAATATTAGAAAATTGAACATTTTTGCGATTTGTTTATTAATAGGAATGATCTGCAAGGGTATATAAGCTTCGGCTGGCCGAAGCTAGCTTCCTTTCTTGTTTTTTTTCAATTATAAAATATTTTGTTGATTATTAATTCATGTTGCTATTCTAGTCAAGTTTTCATTTGTAAAATCTGCAAGGGTATTAAAACTTCGGCTTGCCGAAGTTAGCTTCCGTCCTCGTTATAGGATAAAGATAGAACAATTCTGAAAACACCAAAGTTCGTTTCAATAAACATGTAGTTTAAATTAATGGCATATTTTTTTTTTTTCATATTTTCAAAAATGCATATATGCATACAATATTCACAATATATGGGCACTTCCAAAATGTCGCTCGGGACATTTGCACACCTTTAAAGTTGAAAAAAATTGTAAAACAATGGATTTTAATTTTAATTATGGGCTTTTCTTTTCACTCTTCCCAAGCTCTATTTTTGGTAAAAATCTTGATTTTGTACCACTTTTAGTTTTTAAGATATAGGTAAAAAACTGCCGTATTCGCTCGGGACAAAAATAGAAGTGGATTTCGGGGAAGTTCATACAACACCAGAAATTGGCGAATTCTGATGGAATATTTGTATGCGATTTTTTTAGAATGTTGTTCAAACATGTCGCTGTGAAATGGTTTTGGTTTCACTCAAAAATTCTTTGCCGTTTTTTTATTATGCAGTTTCAACCACATTCGCTCGGGACATGTCGCTCGGGACATTTTTTCCGACTGTTTTGTAAAGCGGATTTCTTTACCTCTATCTCTCAATTGCTGGATGTTTTGCCTTTAACTTAACAGTTTAGTATGTGAATGAAGCATTCAGTACAGAAAAATGTCACATATTAGCATTCCTATAGGATAAATTAACAATAGAAGACAGGTCCAAAAAATAACAAAAAAAAAGCCAAAAACTGATTTTTGCGTATATTGGTGGGGTTTGTCATAAAAATAATCAAACTATACTCCAAATTTGTAGTTAAGCTCAGTATCCGACTAACTAGAAACTAATATCGGGGCAAAATCATGTGGAAATGTGTTTTATTCAAGTTTCAAGGTTTTTGGCTTGGTGGACTTTTTTTTGGAAGTGCCCATATGCAAAATATAAAATAAACTCAACTATTCAAGATTGACCATTTCATAGCCAACCTAATTTTGTTTGTTCTTTTTCATCATTTCTGAGATATCTAATTTTTTCCCAAATTTAAGGAAACCGTATTTATATTTCCAACGAGTAGGCGAGAAGGGGGCAAAAATAGTAAAAGGGGCAGAATAGTTTTTGGCACTATCGGCCAAACTGCTCGCCGTGTTTACTGAAGGCATAATTTGCATATATTGTTCTTATTTTTGTGTATATTTTTTTGCATATATTTTGCATATTTTCGATATGCATTCGAATTTATTAGATTTGAAAATTATGACACCTACCTAAAAATTTTGGTAAAAATCTGACCAAAAATAGACAAATATGCAAAATCCGAGGTCTAGTACTGAGATCGTAATTTCCCTCCGAATAAAAAAAATTATTTGTTTTTAGTTTTTTTTATTTTTTGTTAAAAAAAAAGTTTTTTAATGTTTTTTATGCTATTCATTCCTTAAAATGTATGGCCTTAAATTGAACACTTATGGCCATTTTTACTATTTTTAAGTCCACAATGGCCTTTAAGCACCATTTTAGGCAATGTAGTCCATGCTTCCTTAAATCTAGCAATTTTTTTTTAGAGTGTAAAAGGTTGAGATCTTCCACACATATTCTTGGGCTTCGTACGCAGCGCAAGTGTGTATATTTCAGCCGAGCGCCACGCCTCCTCTAACGCCCACAAACGCTTACTAATGGTTTTAAAAGATCGCAATCAAAAAAATTTTATATATCTATCTCCCTCGCACTCCGTTTAGATGAGTGACGGGTTTTAGATAGTCGGGCCACCTCTCTTGTTTTGAAGTGGTATCGTATTCGGCAGCAGATGCAGAGGTTGTCATAGCAAACCCTAGCAACCACTTTATTATTTTTATTAAACAATTCTGACATTCAAAAAATATACATATATTTTCACACTATCTGTAACTTCTTTCTTCAAGATTTAAATAGTTGTTTTATAAATAAAAAATATAATGTCGGACAATGAAGATATCGATTCGTGTGATTTTACCAATATTTCTGAGCAGAACGTTAGCTCAGTCCCTGAACCAGAGCAATTGGCCCTTCTTCCCCCGAACCATCCGCTTCTTCGCAAATTTCAAGAGTCTTTAAAGGGTCACCTATTACGAACTAAGCACGACATAGAAAATGAAATTGCGGAAATAAAATATCAAGTTAAACTGAAAGAACAACGTCGAGAAGAGCAGGGGTTGTCTTTATATGACATGCAACAGAAAATGGAATTTCAGGAAGAGCAAATTAATGAATTATCTGCTATAATTGAAAAGCATTTAAAAAATCGGGAAGTAGAAGAGTTCAATGCAAGAATTTTAAAAAAGGAATACGAAGAAAAAATTAAGCTAACTAAATCACAAAAACAGCTTTATCATGAAAGAATGGTTAAACTCGAAGATTTGCAAAGCTTAAGTAGTAATATAAAAAAATGGGCTTGCAATGTGGAGGATGAAGTAAAAAATGCTAAACGCATTGTTAGTAGAGACGCACAGCTGCAAAGCCAGCTATCCCAAGAAAAACTAAATTCAGATATACTTTTTTTCCGGCTAGATATGGAAGTTAAAAAGAGAGAGAAAGAGTTAATTTTGATTTGTGAGGAAGAAGCTGAAATGAAAGAGGTGGTAAATATTCTAAATATGAGCATAGCGAATGCTAATACAGACTTGGAAGTTTTGCAAAATGAACATAAGCGTCTTACACAAGCATGGAGCGAGGTTATCATTGCCATTCAGTTGAGAGACAATATTTTATTTCATGTTCAAGATACTGTAAGGTGAGTATCGAAAGAACCAAAACGTTTCAGTAAATTTTAACAAACCGGTATTTCAGAAAACACAGGGAATCAATAAAATTAAATTTGGCCGGAATCGAAGCAATTAAAAAACAGATTGAAAAGGAAATGGAACTTAATAAAAAACTTGAGTCATTCAAGCTACGACTGGCCGATGATACTAATTCATTGAGACGAGACTGTAAGTAAATAGACATTTGTACTTATTCTTCAAGGAACTATCCGGCCTGTTCCAGTTTTCACTCGGAGGTGAATCTGATTTCATGCTAGCGGATTTAAGTCCGCCTGTCAAATGCTTGGCGGAAAGTTTCCATGTGAATTTTTCGGAAGTTAACAGAGTAACAACGATTGATATTTAAATCCTTGCAATTCTTTCGGAAATGAGTCCTGGAACAGGTCTGAGAAATTCGATTCCGTGTGAATCTTTCGGAAGTGAAAACTAGAACAGGGCCGTCTTTTTGCTTATATATATGAAAAGGTATAAAACCAATCAACATAATAAAGTTTTGCTATCAAATTTTTTTATATTCTACTACATATAAACACTTTTTAAACTTTTCTAATTCTGCACGCTGGTCAGTGGGGCGAAAAAGCCCTATACCGACCATCTATTAATGGGATATTGTTATAGGTAATTAAATATTGGTAATTCCGCGTAAAACGTGATAGGCCCTTTTGGGTCAAATCTCAGAAGTGGCCGAACCTTTTTTTTCGATAAAGGATTAAAATATAAGGATCGGTTTTTTTATACCCGTTACTCGTAGAGTAAAAGGGTATATTGTATTCGTGCAAAAGTATGTAACAGATAGAAGGAAGCGTTTCCGACCCCATAAAGTATATATATTCTTGATCAGGGTCACTAGCCGAGTCGATCTAGCCATGTCCGTCTGTCCGTCTGTCTGCCCGTCTGTCTGTCCGTATGAACGCTGAGATCTCGGAAACTATAAAAGCTAGAAGACTGACATTTTGCATGTAGATTCTAGGAGTTCCTACGCAGCGCAAGTTTGTTTCAAAAGGGTGCCACGCCCCCTCTAACGCCCACAATTGCATATATACGATATTGAAAATTTCAATATTTTGGAAAAGTAAAAATGCAGTTTTATTGTGTTTATCAATACCTATCGAAATGTTGAAGAAATTTTTTAAATCGGACCATTCGTTAAAAAGTTACGGTGGATCAAAGTTTTTATCTCCATGTATAATCCTTCGCACTCCCTTTAGCTGAGTAACGGGTATCTGATAGTCGGGGCACCCGACTATAGCGTTCTCTCTTGTTTTTAACTCTTACCGTTTATTTTTAAAAAATATTTTTCTAATTAAGCTTTGATTTTTTAAAAAATTCTGTACGCCGGAATACACACGGTTTCCGAATGAAAAAATTATCCTCATATTGTCTTATCAATTCTTAACAAAGTGGTAAAATAAAATTTTTTTTATCGCAAGACCTACGAGTAAAGACAACGATTTTAGTTTAGCAACTTAGCAGCATCAAGCAACAACAGCGCAACGTGTAAGAAAGGGAAAGCAATATTCGCGCTTTTCGGTGCTCGTATTGCTGTTCTCTTCTTACCTTCTTAGAAGGATGTACGCAATGAAAATTGTTTATATATCTATTTCCCTCGCAATCCCTGAGCTGAGTTACGATTATTTGATAGTCGGGACACCAACCCGACTATAGCGTTAATGTTTATAAATAACTAGCTATACCCGGAGCGACTTCGTTCGCTTAAAATAAGTTTTGGAGTTAGGAAATTAGGTTGTCAGGAATTTCTTATTTCTTATTTGTGCGTTTTTTGAAACCCTTCGTGTAAACAATCTTTGTGGAATTTCTTTCAAGGAAAGAATCAGAAGGCCACTGGCAGAGCTATATAAGAAACTAGCAGGGTCGGTAGCCCGCAGCTTCGCCTGCGGAAATTAAAAATGAAAATTAAGCGTACCTCTTTATTTGCTACTTATTTTAAATTTAAAAATTCCTTATTTTTAGCCTATAAGCCGAGAAAAGATTTTATTATAACTTTTTTCCTTAATTTCCGCAATCATATTCCTAAAACTCTTATTGCTTGTGTAAGTTATCAGCTGCACAGAACAGAAACAAACAACATATCCTTACACTAATTTTCTTTACAACATTTGTACTTTGTCCAAAACATATTGTTTAAATATAGAATGTCATACTGGATTAAGCATATAATTAAATTTCAAATCAATTAGAGTGTAAATCTAAAAAATAAACTTGTTTTCTTAAAAAAAATACCCCAATACATTGCTTAAACATACCTCTTTCTCCAAAAAATAGCCCTCCAACAACCAATATGATAATTTTGGTTAAGATTTATGAAGTTAGAGGAAATATTTTTGTTCAGGTAACGAAAAGGTAAATAAAAACCAAATACTCTTTGCGATTTAGCTAACGTGGGGGTTTTTAGAACGTATCCACAGTAGACAACTCTTATAAGGGAACCCAATATTTATGCGAAGCAATGTTTTGCTTTATATATTCGACTAATTTAAGAAAAGACATCAAGAAATTCGATATTACTGCATTTTACCATTGATATTTTGTGTCAGTATTTTTGTTTTCACATTAATTATTCACCTTGATTAGAATAATATTAATAACTAGCAGGGTACACTCAAAAAAAAAATAGCCCGCAATCGCCATTAAATCAAGAAATTCGCCATGAATTTCAGTAGATGGCGATTTACCGTATTTTTTAGAAATGATTTTTCTAAAATTTAGAAAAAAATTTGTGAAAAACAGAAATATTTTTCTAAAATCAAGAAAAATTGCCAATAAATTGAGTTATTTTCCTAAAATCCAGAAAGTACTTTTCTTAAAAATAGAATTTTTTTCTTAAAATAAGAAAGGACTTTTTTATTTCTTTAAAAAAAAGAGAAAAGAAAATAAACAAGAAAGGAAGCTACCTTCGGCCAGCCGAAGCTTATATACCCTTGCAGATAAAGTAATGCTCACTCGGTGCAGTTCCAGGGATTCCAGATTCAGCGTTTCTATTTTTGAATTTTGTTTTTAAAGAGTCAAGAATTAAAACGCCTACTTCCTACAAAGTAACAATGAATTTTCTTTGAATATTCCTATGGGAGCCTTAAGATATAGTGGTCCGATCCGGCTCGCTCCGACATATGTACTACCTGCAATAGAAAGAAGACTTTCGGGAAAGTTTCATCGCGATAGCTTTAAAACTGAGAGACTAGTTCGCATAGAAACGGACAGACGGACAGACGGACAGACGGACAGACGGACATGGCTAGATAGACTCGGCTATTGGTGCTGATCAAGAATATATATACTTTATGTGGTCGGAAACGTCTCCTTCACTGCGTTGCAAACATCTGACTGAAATTATAATACCCTCTACAAGGGTATAAAAAGGTGAAAAGAAAATTATTAATATTTCCTTAACAAAAAAGGAAAAAAAAAAGAAAACAAGAAAGGAAGCTACCTTCGGCCAGCCGAAGCTTATATACCCTTGTAGATAAAGTAATGCCTACTCGGTGCAGTTCCAGGAATTCCAATTTTGTTTTTAAGTAGTCAAGAATTAAAACGCCTACTTCCTACAAAGTTACAATGAATTTTCTTATATTTGTTTGAATTTTCCTATGGGAGCCTTAAGATATAGTGGTCCGATCCGGCTCGCTCCGACATATGTACTACCTGCAATAGAAAGAAGACTTTCGGGAAAGTTTCATCGCGATAGCTTTAAAACTGAGAGACTAGTTCGCATAGAAACGGACAGACGGACAGACGGACATGGCTAGATAGACTCGGCTATTGGTGCTGATCAAGAATATATATACTTTATGTGGTCGGAAACGTCTCCTTCACTGCGTTGCAAACATCTGACTGAAATTATAATACCCTCTACAAGGGTATAAAGATAAAAATAAAATTATAAATATTTCCTAAACAAAAAAAGAAAAGAAAAGAAAACAAAAAAAGATAAAAACAACATTATAAAATATTTCCTAAACAAAAAAGAGAAAAGAAAACAAAAAAGATAAAAATAAAATTATTAATATTTATATTAAGTATTTAATATATTATTATTAAAACTTACTTACTTATTGCCAAATTGTCAAAAATACCTGAAATTAAAATATTTCCTGCAATCGAAAATAAAAATTAATATTAGAGAAGTATGGTATTTGCGGCCTGCAATATTATTAATAGCCAAATCTATTAAAATAGTATGCCCTTTGCTTACCATAAATTTTCACACACTTACCAAATTTATATTTAAATTTATTTAAATTGCTTACCTATTAATTGCCTCTTTGAGATATCGCACTTTAACTTTTTTAAATAGGCTCAACACAAACTTATTACTTTGAATGCTCATCCAAAACTGAGCACAAGGGTTCAAAATGGCATATAAGCTGTTCTAGTATTCGGACGTGTTTTTCGAAGCTCCTCCTTCACATCGTGTTTTTCCTGTGAAAACCTATTCCATTCTAATCAGATTTTGAACATTTTGTCAGTAACCCTGCAATCTTGTTTAATTCGTGCCATTCGGTTAATCTAAATGGACAGTGACTTTACTATTTGCAAAATTAATTTGTAAACAAAATATTTTTGCTACTGCTCTGTTTTGCCAGCGTTACCGCAAAACCCATAGTTTGTGTTGTGTCTGCCGCGAACATCCACGAGAACCTACTCTGTGTTGCCAGCGGTACCGCTAAGCCTATAGTTTGTGTTGTTGTTTTGTAACCACTCTCTCTGTGTTTACGCGAACGTGCAATCGGTGCTTTTCGCTCTGTGCGGTTTCTTCAGCGCTTATCAGATCGCTCTTCGACTGCTGTATCCGACCGCTCTTTGCTCTGCCCTGTTGCTGCTGCGCTGTTCTGCCCTGCTGTTGCTGTGCTGCTCTGCCCGGCTGCTACGCTTATCTTCGATCGCTTGCATCTGACTGCTCTTTGCCTTGCTGCTGCTATTTACGCTATTAAATCAAGATGACTTTATGTTGCGCTTCTTCGTGTGCGTTTAACAACAAAATTACCGCTCGTCAACCGTTGGTTTGTTGCTGGATCTGCGACAACTTGGCGCACCCTATCTGTGTTGAGCTGGGGCGCTCAAGCGGCCAAATCGTAGACAAGCTAAAGCTACGGGTTGGCCTTAACTGGACGTGTCCGAGCTGTAGACACATCGAAGTAGACATGAAATCG